GGCGAATTAGGCGGATCGACGAGGGAGCGCATCGACGAACCCTAATCCGACTTCTTCTTCTGTGTTCTTCTCCTTCTGTCACGTGATGGATTCCTCTGGTTCGTTCTTCTTCTAACCCTAATCCCCCTCAAGTCTTCGGTTAGGTTTTGTGTTTTTCGTGGTGCTCGTTCTTTGTGTTGCTGTTTGTTTAAGCGTGGATCTAGCTGTGTGCAATGATGGACGGTGTCTCTGGTATCTAGGGTTTGGGGTAGAAAATTTCGCCCCCTTTTTTAGATCTTCTGTTTGCATGTGTATAAATGTATCCTGTTCATGCGTGTAAATCCATCTCATGTGACGGATGGCATCTCCCGTGTGTTGGTGCGTGTCCCTCTGCCATCTGTGTAACAAATACTAGGGGTTTTGTGATTCTTAGGAAGATGTTGGCTCTGAGTATTAATCTTGTGGGATTGGAGAGTAATTCTACATGTATTGGAGTATAAATCAATAGTAGATTGTGGAGTGTATTGTAATAATTTCGAGGGTATAGTGCATTTGTTTTTAGTTAGTTAACTTCAACTTGAGACATTTAGTTTGTCATGGTTTGTTGACAAATTCTCCTTAGCATGTTACTTTTTGTTAGTTCACGTTTATGTCTGGTTCTAATCCTAGTTTTTGCACATCTATATGCGACAGTCTCCTATGTTTTCATTCGTTCTTTTTGCTTGACACTTGTCCAGTAGTATTTCATATGTTCCCCATTCTGTTATAAGTTAGTTTATTCACATAGTCCATGCCATGAGGTATTTGGTAATGCCCATAGCTATGTCTTCATCTAATCGCTAATAAGCTAGGCCTAATTTGACTGGACATATATCCCATTCTGAATGCCTAGGTGCTCTACTTGGCGTGATTTTGTTTTAGTCAAGTTATGATGTTTGATTGTTCCAGAAAACGGTTCTTGTATAATAATATAATGTTTTTATAGTACTAAAGTTGTCAAGTTCTGAGTTGGATTTTGTATAGAACATTTAAAGAAAAATATACCAATTTGTAGTTAGTGCATGGTGCATGTAAAGTTGTCAAGTTCCAACATGTTAGGTTACGAGAGAATGATCAGCTAATTTCTAGAAGAAGCAATTGTCAATTTCATTTTCTGTAGTAGTACTATAGTACCTTATATAGCAAAAAGAACATAGAAAAGGATAACAGAAAATGCCCGCTCAAATCTTCCCATATGTATTTCTGTAGTGGTACTATAGGTTATTGATTTGCAGAAAATTTCCTCTTAGTATTTCTATGTTTTCTTGTCTAATCCCTCTAGAACAATTTTAAATTCGATTATATTTTTGGAATCAATATTCTTCATTGGAATGTTTTTTAAAAGTTCATGTCCTTTTGCAGTTCAGAACTTTTTTATCTCGAATTTTTTTAAAGAAGAAAAATCAAAAACAGGAAAAGAAAAAAAAAAGTAAAGGCAAAAAAAATAAGCACCCCCACACCTCGCATATGGGCCGGCCCAAAAGGTCATACCGGAGCGGGGGTGCGTGTTTCCTCGCTATTTAGCGTGCAGGCCGCTGAATAGGAGCTCCCCAGTCTCCCTTCGTCACAGCTCGGTCAAGGCGCGCCAACAAAGCATGGGAGCTATGGGTGTGTTTGGTTTATAGCCAACAATGACCATACCAAAAAATTGGCGTGCCCGTGAAATTTGGCTGTTGTTTGGATGGAGACCTCCGTGTTATTTTCGCCAACCTGCGGGCGCGCGGAGGGCGAGCAAAACGCTCGCCAAAAAATTGGCAGCCAGATTCTCTCCATACGTGGTTACTGTTTCCTGTTATTATTTGCGTAGGTAGCCGGATTAATCGCTAGCGGAAGCACAACGACCCCCACGTACTTAGCAGTTGTTTGGATATTTTTAGCGGTGGCTGTTTGGACTTTTTTTCCCTTCTGAATTTGGGTTATTTAGATCTACTATAATCCATTGCAAGCGGTCAAGTAATTACTCCAGTTTATTAGTAGCAGAGCTGCCTACTACGTGCCTAAAAAAAAGAGCTGCCTACTACAGAAAACGGATTTTTTTTCTCAAGAAAGGGGGTTTCCTGAGGGAAAGAAAAGAATTATTTGTGACAAACATAACGTACATTGTACTTTTGCATGCCCTTTCCTTTAATCGTATTGTAGCTAATTACAAAAATTACATGACATTTTTTTATTGACTCAAGAAAAATGAAGCGCCAAGCAGTACTAAATTTCCAAAGTTTGCCACCTTGGTTGTCAGCAAACCAAATGGTAGCTCACGGATTTTGTCAAAAAATTGAGACGTACGATGGTTGTAAACCAAACAAGAACAACTTACCAATTTTTTGGTCATGCCAAATTTTTGGTGGGGCTGATTGGGGCACAAACCAAACACACCCTATATCTCTCGCTTATATAAAGATAGAAGATCCCCACAATTGAAAGGTTTTCCGGTAGCAACAGTAGGGGCTGCCTAATTTGAGATTACTGAACATTGGATTTTCAAGAGCGGTTTTTTGTACGTTTCTATTTGGTTTTTGTCGTTTTTTGGTTTTATTTCTTTTAGTTGTTTTTTTAGTTTTTTCCTTTCCTTTTTTATTTTTATTTTTGGTTTCATTGTTTCTTACTTGGTTTTCAGATGGTTTCTTCAGTTTCTCTGTGTTTCACTGTTGTGCATTGGTTTCTTTGTTTTTTTATTCTCTTTGTTTTTCTTTGTTTCTTTCACCAGTTTTCTTCGTTTTTTCCCTTTTCTATGCACATGTCTTTTTTTCATTACACATGTACATTTTCAGTGTACACATGGAATATATTTTTATGCATGTTGAACATTTTTTGAATACACCGACAGGCCAGGAACCCACTCTCCATCCCATCCCGGCCCCGCGTTGGCCCCGCTCGAGC